TTCATAATAACCCTGTGGAGTCAGAGCTCGTGTCACCTCATCCCTGAGACAGGTTGAATGGAAAGTTTGAACCGAGGGTTAGGCCTCTAGACGAACGAGGGCCACCATTCAAAACACTCCTGTCTCAGAGCACTTGAGGGATTTGTGAAAATATCCTGTAAGTAAGGTGCGCGACAAAACTGCCATACGACAGAGTGTTAGAGAGAATGGGATAGAGCACCAGCGAGACAGAGTGTTAGAGAGGATGAGAGAAAGCACGAGCGAGTGAAAGAGTGTTAGATAAGATGGGAGAGAGCACGAGCGAGAGAGTGTGTGTTAAAAAGGATGGAAAATACCACCAGCAAGACAGAGTGTGTGTGAGAGATAGAGTCAATTTTCCACAGGGTATGTATACACGGCGAAGGTAGGCATCTCATAACACCCCTAGAACATAGGACAGCCCGTGGAAGCCGCCATGAAATCTCACAGCCAAGCGAGATGGGGTAACTTCCGGGAGTTGTACCTGCCACCTGCTACAGCAGCCCGCCAAATCAGAGCTGGAACGTGCTATTAAACACCAAAACTCCTGCGCCTGGGGCTGAAGACACGCTTAGCGCTTAATCTCCTCTAAGCTTCTTCTCAAGACTGATCCATCAATCGCCAGCTGAATCAAATCAACGTCACCATTACTGGAAGTAAACAATCTTGCTTGCTGGCACAGTTGGCCAGCAGATGGCGGCAGCGGCTCACTGACTTATTTTTAAGACGTAGAATGGGAATTTCCCAATTCATTCATACCATGGGCGAGTTTTATTGGGTAATTTCACGGGCTCTCAACTCACAGTGTTGCGACCCCAAAGGGTTTTCTGTGGGGTTGTGTGCGGCTGTGTCGAACATTTTAAGTGTTTGAAAGATACATTTTCTTCTTCTTTTTCCTCGCGTTCACGGTCTGTAAACTTCAGCGGAAAGTTCTGGTTGTTCATCCACCTCTGAATGTTAGACTTTTTCTGGAACCTGAATTTGGCTTGCACATCCGTTTTACAGATCTGACTTATTTGTTTACAGACTGTTAGTTCCCTACCTCTCAGGCAAATGCGCTCCGACTTCAAAGGAAACTCTCATTCAGTCAACTCTTACGACATGCTTGTTAGGGAGGCAGTGGATCTGTTCTTGTTTTCCCCCACAATGGGGTGCCGGAACCCACACGGGGAAATATATTTTCAAATTCAATGTTTTCATTTAGTCTATTAAAAACCTAGTTTAATGTCGCGGGTAGCTTTGCCATTATGAATTTAGTTAAGTTGAATCAAGAATTGACATAACAGCACTCGGGGCATTCCCATAGATACTCCGTCCTCATCTTCAGCAGCCAGCGCAGAGTTCCAATACTGCAGGTTCCGGTCACAATCTGGCTAAAAGTCTGTCTCGCCTTTCCTCTGAGTGTAGTGAGCCGGCCAGACCCTCTGGTTACACCTAGGTGCCTCATTCTCTCCAGGCCGTAATAATGCCATAATGAAATGGGACTGTAACTCAACAAATAAAAAAAAAAAAACTTTGGGAACCACTGGGTTAATCGTCACATGCGTGTCTTGGCGCTATTTTTGTCACCTGAAGAATTATTTTTAGTACAGTAAACTTGATCGACCATGTCACAAACTGCTGCTTCTGGTTATAATGAGATTTTCCCGTATGGGATCCGGGACACTAATGTGGTGGAAACAAGAGTAGATTAAAAGCATGTCATAAAAGTTGCTAATTTGTGAGCTTCCTTTAAAGTCAGAGTACATCTGCCTGAGGGGCAGGGAACCAACAGTATGCATGCAAACAAGTCAGGCCTGTGAAACGAATGTACACACAACACTTAGGTTCTGGAACAGGACTGGATTTCAGAAGTGGACGAACAATCAGAACTTTCCACCGAAGTTTGCAGCCGGTGAACGCAAGGAAAAAGGAGAAGATGATGAGAATAACAACAACAACAACAATAATAATAACAACAACAACAATAACAACAACAACAACAACAACAACAATAACAACAACAAACAAGAAAATGCAGATGGAAATAAGTTAAGAGCAATGTGGATGTAGGAAGGTAAGCAAAGGACCCTATTCCACACCTTGGGGCGTATTGGGCACAAAGTCCTAGAGGTATATTTTAAATTTCAATCGATACTCTGTGGGTGATGATGTGTTTAGTATAACGCCGGCCGCCATTACTTCCCAGGATGTTACCTAGTACCCATTCAGACTGAGTCGACCAGTTAACCCAAGTTATTTTTGAAGAAAACAAAGTCCGACTCCGCCAGGACGTGAGCCTATGACGGATACGCAGACCAACATCTAGCCGCTACACTGCGGAGGCTCCCGGATGCATGGAGGGGACAGGGACAACTCGTACATACTCCGAACACTGATAGATAGATAGATAGATAGATAGATAGATAGATAGATAGATAGATAGATAGATAGATAGATAGATAGATAGATAGATAGATAGATAGATAGATAGATAGATAGATAGATAGATAGATAGATAGATAGATAGATAGATAGATAGATAGATAGATAGATAGATAGATAGATAGATAGATAGATAGATAGATAGATAGATAGATAGATAGATAGAGAGAGAGAGAGAGAGAGAGAGAGAGAGAGAGAGAGAGAGAGAGAGAGAGAGAGAGAGAGAGAGAGAGAGAGAGAGAGAGAGAGAGATCGACCGACATGTGTGCTTTGTACATATCACAGCATGATGCACTCATCAAAACGAGCGTCAAGGAGCAACCAACTGCACACAAAGCCAGTAAAACGGATGTACACACCAAACGCAGGACCTGGCACTAAGCCAAAGTTCAAATAAACGAACAACCGCGACTCTCCGCCGGAGCTTACAACCGGTGAACAAAGAAGAAAAAAAAAACGTATTTACTGGAATCAAGTAAGGACCCGACACAACTGCGACTCCCAGGGGAAAACACGTAGCAGCAATTAAACAAGTCTGCTTCTTTGCCAACTGTCCAAGATCCACAGCCATGTGATTAAGAGCTGCGAACGCGTTCCGTAATTCTAAAATATCAGGCTCGATTCCGCTTTAGGCGATTCAACAGCGGCCTCCTTTGCATTGATATCGTCAGTGGTGTTGAGTACCGACAGTTGAAAGCAGCGGCAAACTCAAAATTATAATGTTTCCTATAAGGCTGCAAAGGCGCTTATGTCTCTCCACAGTTCTCGATCCTTCGTATGATGAATCAATTCCACGGATATTCTTCCATGTTGTCACTTCACTCTAGTGAATCATCGTCTCTCTTGATCTGCCTCTCCTTCTTCTACTGTTGATCTTTCTAGTCGTGATGATCTTCTCTAAAGCCTGACAGAAGGAAACTGCTGCCAGAGTCAACAAACCTTCCATGTAGATGTTGAAGATAAGGGGAACCAACTCATTGTCTTCCATAGCTTTCATGATTTGCTAACTCATCATCATCATGTAGCAGGTCCTTTGCAGAACGTCGCTCTCATCACAGAAACTCGGTCTCTTGCCAGTTCTCCCGCCTCATGCATTTTGACATTCAAGGAGTCACCTATATCTTGTGCCCATCTTCGTGTCAGTCGGCCCCTGCCCCTCTTTCCTTGTACCAAGCCTTCTGCTATTATTTTTTCTAATCCGTCGTGGCGCTTGATAAGACCAAAACATTTCAGCTTTCGAGAAAGGATGCTGTTTATTAGCCAGTCTTTCTTGGTGTTCAGATCTTTTAAGATGTCAATATTTCTCATCTTCTTTGTCCAAGATATTCTGAGAATCTTTCTATAACATTTAAGCTCAAAAGCCCCTATTCTCTTTCTCAAGGACTGAGAGATAGTCCACGACTCACATCCATATGTAGCCTCAGGGAAGATGCATGCTCTCAAAATTCTAATTTGCTAAGTAAAGTAAAGGACCCTTTTACCCGCTTTTAGGCGAATAGGGCATATAGGGCTAGACCTATATTTTTATAGACCAACGGCACAAGATGAGTGATGTGGTCAAATTTGCTAACTACTGAATGTAAAATTGTTTATAGTGCCTTTATATATTCATACAGTTGTATTTTCAATAATTTCTTTGTAATTACTTATTCTGGGAATGGGATTTATTTGCATGGGCTCCTACTTTCACCTCGACTTTATAGTTTTGTACATATGTAATATTTAGACTACTCAGTTGTATCGAAACAGAAGTTTTCTTTGTTTTTTTAATCACTAGTAACCGCGTCCCAATGTCGGATAAAGTTTTTTTTTAATTTGATTAAAGCTCCTGCCTGAGGTCCTAATATAACCCAATCTAGGGGTTTAACGGGGTTTCTGGGACCTATCCCTGGGTGATCCTCATCCAAATCGGTGGCACTTTGTGTCACCGGGTGTTTATCGCTTGGTGTGATGTCCTGATGTGGTTGAACGTGAGTCAGTTATTTTCATCATTTGTATTTTTTAAATTTAGTTACAAAAACATATTTCACAGTGCCGACGTCAATATACCTAACCCTAACAATATACGTTACACCTTTACAACATCTCATGAAACTCTTTTCATAGCGCTTTGCGACACTTTCAGGACAACGTATGTTCTCTTATTAGGAATTTGTGTAACACAAAGAAACTGGTGTGAACGATGTAACATTTGAACTTTTGCTGTATAGCTCTTAAAAGGCAATCCAGCAAGGGTCGTCGTATATGTTTGTGAAATGCATTCCAGTTACTTGTTTTACTAGCAAAATCTGACACAGCGCTGAAAATAGAGTAAATATTAAATAATTTTATCCATTCATATTTAATTACAGCTTAGATATACTTTTTTCAACATCAGCACTAATTTGTAAAAGCACTATATTAGTACCACAAACATTCAAATCATACTGTGGTTGGTTTTGTAACGTCTGATCAAGGATACAAAACTAACTTGTTTTAACATCCAAAGACACGCAGCTATTAAATAAGATTATCTCAGTTATATAAAATACATCTTTTGCTTGTCGTTTTCTGTCCAGCTTACGCCACTCATTACTGAGAATCAACACATATAAGGCTCTGGCTAGTCCGTCTTGGATATCGATGACCAGTCCAGACCCAGTCCTTACAGCGTTCCAACTGTCCTGGGAGCTTGACCATCTGGCACTGAGGGAGAATGAGTTTAAGGACTCTTATATACAGGTCCGTTTGATTATATGCTGATTGTTGATATAATTTGGTTCGATGTTATTTGTATTACACTACTTTCATCATCATCATGAATCATCATCCCTTAACACTACGTGTCGTTGGGTCACCAGTTTCTATTGACTTTCTGATCAGCTCTCTCCACATTTGAAGGTCATTTGTGATGGACTTCATGGTTGCATGCCTGAGGTCTGTCCAGTCAGTCAGGTTCTGTAACTAGGTCTTTCTTGGTCGGCCTCTTCTCCTCTTTCTCTCTACTGCGCCCTGCAGTATTGTTTTTGAGAGGCCGTTAGATCTTATTACATGTCCATACCATTGTATTGTTTGCCTTTTCACTGTAGTTAAAAGAGGTTCGTAGTTGCCAATATTTACACTATTAGGTCGGATTTATGGGCCATACACTCACAATGGATAAAACCAGACTCCCCGATCAAGATTCCATATGGACACCGGAAGGGGAAAGACAACAGGAAAGGCCAAGAGAGACCCTGCCTAGAACCATCAGCAGAGAAGACTCGACCATGGACCTAATGAACATCCAAGAACTAAAACAGGTGGCAGCGAACTGTCAGACATGGAGAGCCATGACCTCTGTCCAATGTGCCGCCTTTTTCTTAGGACGAAAGACTAAATGGCTAATTAGCTGACTAACTAGCTAACTAGCTAACTAACTAGCTAACTAGCTAACTAGCTAACTAACTAACTAACTAACTAACTAACTAACTAACTAACTAACTAACTAACTAAATAACTAACTAACTAACTAACTAACTAACTAACTAACTAACTAGCTAACTAACTAATTAACAAACTAACTAACTAACTAACTAACTAACTAACTAACTAACTAACTAGCTAACTAACTAATTAACAAACTAACTAACTAACTAACTAACTAGCTAACTAACTAACTAACTAGCTAACTTACTAACTGTTAGTTCTGGAAAACTTTGCCTAACGCGAGTGGGTCTTGCTGATCACACTCGCCTTAGCCATGGTGTGTGATTCCTATGCCCCCTTGTCGCACCGTACCACACTCTCTGTCTGAAACAACGAAAACGTCCAGCAAGGTTTAATTTGATTTGATTAAACTTCGTTTGATTAGGTTTGATTTGATTAGATAGGGGGTCTTCGTGACGAAGGAGGGCAAGCCCTTTGCCCCGGGCTCTGAAGGCCATAGGTTCTTTTCACGGATGGGTTGTGCGGTTCACAGGTGCAGTGTTTACACATATTTATGGGGATAATCTTTGGAGCTACGGAGTTCATGCTTTGTGCGACACTCTTACAGGCGGCAAGCTGTTCTCTGTTTTAACTTTAGTTTAATATGTTGTTTAATTGGATTTGGATTAATTTAGTTGTATTTGATTAGGTTTGGTTTCATTTACTTTGGTTCGCTCTGTTTGATCAGGTTTGGGCTCAACCTGTGATATGGTGAGTACACCATCCATCGAATGCCAGTTTAACTAAAAGAAATACATATGCCTCATCACAGATCGACAAGTGTAAAATGGGGATCAGAAAATGTCAGGGGAAGTAAAAGCGACAAGGATGATGTTTACCACATCATCTATCAAATGGGGATTAGTCTACAACAACGTGAGTCCAGCACCATATGCCTGATGCGCCAATGGTGTCATTAGGACCCTTTATTGATTAACTTAAGACCTGCCTAATATTCTAATGATGTGGAAAAGGCTATAACTTTTAACTAACGTTTGGGCACTTTTCTTGTAGTTCATTCCATCTCGACGACTGGGAGATTTTTGAGGGGAATTCCCTGAAAAATCATTTTGGGGAAGGGGGAATAGTATTAGTCGGTGTTTATTTCACACCGGAACACCCCTATACTTTTGGACTGTCATGGGAACTCTCCTGGAAATATCGAAGTCCCCGAGATAGGGTGAATTAAAAGGAAAGGACAGACGTATCTTCTTGTCGATCTCTCTGCCAGCGTTTTTTAAATGAGAAGGCAAAAAACACCCATGAAGTCAGTGGTGCAACGCACGTCTTTCACTGTTTCTTCTTACAGCTGAGTTTCCGTTGCACTGCCAACCTGCCAAACCTGGGATCTATCTACTGCAAGTGTCTTTCGCTTGTGTTTGAAAAAGACTGCCCGGCCGAAACGTTACGTTGTGTTGTTTTGTGCACGTTTTCCTCTTTCCCATTTTGTTGAGCTTTTTAGTCAAATTTCTCTGGAATTCATTGCAAGTAGACAGTAGGTATGTAGTACGTGTTCAGTATTCTGTAACGCCTGTCAACCTAGGCAAAGTTCTGAATACCTACACTTGAATTTCTTGTATATATAGCTGCAGAGTCGTGTCCAGTACGCAATCTATATATTATGGCACGTTTCTTTCATGTGAGCAGGTTTCCTGGTGTTCAGAATGGGCCCTAATGGCTGCCTTGGTCTTTGTTTTGTTTTCCACCCCTTGTGCCTCCTGCATCTGACTGTTTTGTGTGACTTCAAGTCTGTGCTAAGAAGCTTGCTGTTTCCATTCCCTTAAGTGTGCTACGTGGTCTCGAGGCATGGTGTTTGCCTCGAGTGCTAAAGGTTCCGGTTTTAATCTCCGGTAAGGGCTGGGATATTTTCACGTGTGCTTGGACTTATAGTATTTTCCCTTGGTCTCTGGGTAGTGGGATCGGATGCCCGTGTGTATTGTTGCGCACGTATAAAATCCTTTGGCAGTTGGAAATCGAAAAAAGTAAACCTAACGGCGCTGCCTGGGCAAAATTTGGAGTTAAAAATCTACCCAAAGTATTTCAGGATCCTCGCCGGTGCTACAGAGCCTGTGAACTGTGCCGAGTTTCTTCGGACTCAGACATGAGTTAGAAGAAGAATGGAGCACTTATGGGTTACATCTGTGTGCCATAAGGTTGATCCGCTGTTCAAACCTCAAACCTGTTGTTTACAATACTGAGCCAGCATTTGCCATATTTGACTCAGGGCGGGTTGGCTTCGCAACGTTCTGTAAAGGATACGCAAATAAGTTTAACAATCTTGAATACCCAGTAGAGCTTCAACCATGCTTAAGTTGAGGATTTGAATTGGTCATGTACGGTTCTATACTCCAGCTCAGTGGTCAGTGCAAGAAATACGCCTGTGACCTGCTTGACCAGTGTCGCAGTAGTGAGGAGGTCATTGCTGTCCTCAACAAGACATGCGAAGAAGATGTGGACAGCGAAGATTGCTGTCCGGACGAGACAGAGAAACTGACGCTGTCCAGACTCAAACTGGCCATCAAGTATGAACAGAAACAGGTAAAGGTCTCTTTCTACTGCAAGATCTAGAACAGTCTTTCCCATTTGTTTGCTGCGGATCACTTATTTTGCTCGAGATATCATTTTTTTTTTCTTCTTGTAGTCCATTCCGTGTGGCGTTGACAGTCATGTCTGTTCACAACCGTCTGTCTTGTGTACTTTCAATGAGTTCTGACACAGATAATAGTCCAAGTGTTTTCACAACCTTCTGTCTCATGTACTTTCAATGAGTTCTGACACAGATGACAGTCCAAGAGTTTTCACAACCTTCTGTCTTGTGTACTTTCAATGAGTTCTGACACAGATGACAGTCCAAGAGTTTTCACAACCTTCTGTCTTGTGTACTTTCAATGAGTTTCTCTATCAAGGGCTTGTGCTTAGCGTCATTGACTATGGTCTTGGCCTCCTCACTGTCAGCAAAACCCAGCTAGAAAGACTGGACCGAGTACAAAATGAGGCCATGAGACTCATACTCGGCTGCACAAAAGACACCTCCTGCAACGCCATGCGTTATGTCCTGGGTTTGCCGACGATGACTAGTAGATACAAAGTGGCACAAGTCAAGGCTTACATGAGGGTATCGGCAGACGCTAACCACCCATTGCACAAAGCTATATACGATACAAAAAGGAAACGCGTCTCAAAAGAGGCCGCTCTTGGATGGCAAAGGCTGAGAATTTGATCCAGCAGGTATGTGACCTACGCGTTATCAGGCACGGAAAAGAATGGATGAATACACCAGTAGACATGCATGACATCTCTAAGGTTGTCATCACACTAGGAAGGTACTGTCGGGATCAGATTCCTGCGGCCATAGACACAAAAGTAAGGGAACTGATAGATCAGCATTCAGACCCAGAAGATATCATCATCTACACAGATGGGTCCGTGAAGCGCGGATCAAGGTCAGCATGGGCATACACAGCGCAAAGAAGGGGAAAAAACAATACATGAAGATAGCGGCGCTTACCAGACAACCACGTCAAGCATGACCATGGAAATAGCCGCTGCTTCTAGAGCTTTAGCATGGGTATCCGAGCAAACCGCCACACAAGCAGTAATTGTCTCAGACTCAATGAATATGCTTCAGAAAATAGCAACTGGCAGTATGCGCTCTGAATGGATAGAAAGCATTCGGAAATCGCACTTAACTTCCGTAACCTGGATCTACACACCGGGTCATGCGGGCGTAAAGGGAAATGAGCGAGCGGACCAACTGGCAAGCACAGCACTAATGATTGCGGGAAAAAGCATGGACAGAGCAGATATCGTTAACGCTGTACGTACTGGGCTAGTGGATAATATCGAATCCCTGACACTAACACGATTGCGTGACATGGGAGTTAAGCATGGTGAAGCACGTCTTTGCCGTCTGCAAGGCCGAGAAAGGAGACAATATAACCAGCTTCTCATGGGGACAATTAGTAGAAGTACTTTGGAGTGGCTGCTGCTTCGGAGGACTGCGCACGCATGGGTATGCCCAATGTGCAGTGACGTCGATTGTGATAACAAAACACAAAATAAACATTTTGTAGGAAGTCGGCATTCCGAAACCCAAGTTCAAGGTGTCTCCTTCGTGCCAAAGAACTGCATGGCTGTTGGGTGAACAGTCGTTAACGAAGGCAGTCAGGTCGTTGTAGGGGCGACGCCTGCTGGTGGGATGTAATGTCCTAAGTCCCTTTCCCAGCTAATAGTGAGGGTACTGCTGGGGTGACCATTTGTTAACCCCTCACATAATGCTTCAAGTCACAGTGGACGCTAGGCACGGCCACTTTTTTTTTTTTTTTTTTTTTAGCCGTGGCAGTTCTGCCAGGCGGTGGCCGTTGCATTTTTGCTCCATTTGTAGACTGGAAGGATATGGTTTCGTCACCCAGCTTCTGAGTTGAGTGCATGGTGTGACACTGTGAGCTACGAGTGTTTTTCGTTGGCACAGGAGCGGAGCAACAATGGGGTGACCCGTTTGCTATGATGCTGAAACTAGGATTACCAGATTACCAGATTACTTTCAATGAGTTCTGACACAGATGACAGTTCAAGTGTTTTCGCAACCTTCTGTCTTGTGTACTTTCAATGAGTTCTGACACAGATGACAGGCCAAGTGTTTTCACAACCTTCTGTCTTGTGTACTTTAAATGAGTTCTGAACCAGGTGATAGTCCAAGTGTTTTCACAACCTTCTGTCTCGTGTACTTTCAATGAGTTCTGACACAGATGATCGTCCAAGTGTTTTCACAACCTTCTGTCTTGTGTACTTTCAATAAACTCTGACACAGATGACAGTTCAAGTGTTTTCACAACCTTCTGTCTCATGTACTTTCAATAAACTCTGACACAGATAATCGTCCATGCCATGATGTCAAACTGTCCAGCATCTTCTCTCTTGGTCTCCTTCTGCCTCTTCCACCTTCTTATTTGCCGCCGTCACGGTGTATTCCTGTTTGTTTCCTTTTTCTGATTTAACCACAGGTCTCTTCGTGAGTAAATTTCTTTCAGAACAGTTTCATTACCCTTTTAATCTGTCTAGGATGTTCTCATCATTCGTCTGCAGAGATATATCTCCATCGCTTCCACGAATGTTTCACTAATCGGCCATCTGTCCATGATTCACTTCTGTATATCAGTTGCCAAAGGAAGATTTGATAGACAAGTTTTCATTTTGGGAAGTGCTGCCTTGTCTTGAGCTATTCTACATTTAGTTTTTTTTTATATATCTTCCATTTGCTGTTATCCGGGTTCAATTTATAAATAAGAAAACCTCAGATTTACAATGTAATTATCTTTGCTATCTTTGCTACAATGCAATTATATTTGCTATAAGGCAGTTATATTTTCTAAAGTGCAATTACCGTTTCGTTAATGCGGTTATCTTTGCTACAATGCAATTATCTTTACTATTATGCAGTTATGTTTGATATAATATACGGGATCCATGTCAGAGATTCGAAAATTAGAGGTTCTTGCAAAATCTTGGCTTAACTTAAATGTCAGCTATTGATCTAGAACACTGTATGTGTTCATGTCTTTGAGAAAGTAAATTAGAACCGATTAGCATCGGTACGATAGTTACTCTGTGTAATGCAAGATTGTTACATGTGAAATATACAAGATTTGTGTCAGGAACGGGTTGTGTCTTCGGGTTGTTAAATTATTCAGTTACCTGCCTCGTGTTCTGCTAGTCAGGGGCGTATTTGAAGAGCTTATCTAATGATAATTTTGTTGACGTTGTTGTCATTGTGGTTGTTTGTGTTGTTAATGTAGATGTTGTTCTTGATGTTTTTGTAGTTGTCGTTGCTGTTGTTGTTGTTCACGACGACGATGTTGATACCGTTGTTGTTGATGCTGAAGCTGCTGTTCGTGCTTAAAGAAAACTTGGAGTTAGAACAAAATGGACCTTGTTGTGTGGAGTGGGCACATCAGGGAGGGAATACGAATACAAAAAGAAATTATTGCAGAAAGGACGAGAGCCGAGCGACTTAGAAGAAACAGACTAATCACAAATGTTGACAACAACTGTCCTGAAATCCCATGCTTTAAAATCTAGAAGGCTTTTCTTAACGCAGGCGAATCTTGATAGTCACACTCGCCTTCGCTATGGGCTGTGAGCCCCATGCCGCCTCATAGCACAATATAACACTATCGTCTAAAGAGATGGAAAGGTGCCAGTCACCATATCAGCAGTATGACCAACAACAGTCTTCTTCAATTAGGAAGGATAGTGTGTTAAACGATCCAAAAAAAAAAAAAAAACATACGCAGCTATCTAATCTGCCTATCTTGTAGCAAATCTTGTGCAGAACGTCGCTCCCGTCACGGCTTGGAAAAAAAAAAACCACAAGCTCTCCCGCCTCGTGGCCTTTTTTACCCAAATTGTCATCTATATCCTGTGCCCATCATCCTGGTCGGTCCCTGATTCTCTTTTCCTGACATCATCCTTGCTGCTTAATTGTCCCCACTTCGTCGTGGCACTTGATATGGTAAAATTACTTCAGTTTCCGAGACAAGTTGCTGTTTACTAGGCAATCTACCTTGATGTTCAGATCTTTTAGGACGTCAGTGCTTTTTTTTCTTTTTCTTGGCCCATGACATTCTGAGATCTTTCAATTTCATTTCAGCTCAAAAGCTCTAATTTTCTTTCCTAATTAAGGACCTGCTTAACGGGGGCAAACATACCCCCACCCACCCCAAACAAGGTTGGGGGGGGGGAATAAATAATAAATTACCAACACATATTCCCCGTGTCCGCCCCAGCGATTTCTATATTTCTATGTGCTGTATATACACTCCCGGGTGGCTAGGGCCAGATCGATACAGGAAATCACCGATCCCACCCTGGCCGATCTGGTGCCAGTGTGTAAATGTATTTGACATTTGCGTCTGTTTTGTGTCAAGGACGTCAGTAAATAGGCTTATATTCGGTTTGGTCCGGGCGTGCAGACGGCAAAGATGATTACCTCCCATAATGTGGTGACGCCGCACGCATGGTTGCTAGGTCCTGTTTCATGTAATATTATTTGTTACAAGGGGCGTTTTCTAATATTATTTATAAGAAGCGGCGAACTCAAATATCATTAACGGGAAGCTGCGAACTCTAATGTCATTTATGAGAAGTGGTGAACTCTAATATCAGTTATTAGAGGGACCATATTCTGCTCAAATTTACCAGACAGCGAAACTCATTTATGAGAAGTTCTGAACTCTAATACTAGTTATTAGAGGGACCATTTTCTGCTTAAATTTTCTAGACGGCGGAAATTCTGAACTCTAATATCAATTATTAGAGGGACCATTTTCTGCTTAAATTTTCTAGACGGCGGAAATTCTGAACTCTAATATCAGTTATTAGAGGGACCATATTCTGCTCATATTTACTAGACGGCGAAACTCATTTATGAGAAGTACTGAACTCTAATATCAGTTATTAGAGGTACCATTTTCTGCTCAAATTTACTAGACGGCGAAACTGATTTATTAGAAGTACTGAACTCTAATATCAGTTATTAGAGGTACCATTTTCTGCTCAAATTTACTAGACGGCGAAACTGATTTATTAGAAGTACTGAACTCTAATATCAGTTATTAGAGGTACCATTTTCTGCTCAAATTTACTAGACGGCGAAACTGATTTATTAGAAGTACTGAACTCTAATATCAGTTATTAGAGGTACCATTTTCTGCTCAAATTTACTAGACGGCGAAACTGATTTATTAGAAGTACTGAACTCTAATATCATTTATTAGAGGTACCATTTTCTGCTCAAATTTACTAGACGGCGAAACTGATTTATTAGAAGTACTGAACTCTAATATCAGTTATTAGAGGTACCATTTTCTGCTCAAATTTACTAGACGGCAAAACTTATTTATGAGAAGTACTGAACTCTAATATCAGTTATTAGAGGTACCATTTTCTGCTCAAATTTACTAGACGGCAAAACTGATTTATGAGAAGTACTGAACTCTAATATCAGTTATTAGATTTACCATTTTCTGCTCAAATTTACTAGACGGCAAAACTTATTTATGAGAAGTAATGAACTCTAATATCAGTTATTAGAGGTACCATTTTCTGCTCAAATTTACTAGACGGCAAAACTTATTTATGAGAAGTACTGAACTCTAATATCAGTTATTAGAGTTACCATTTTCTGCTCAAATTTACTAGGCGGCAAAACTTATTTATTAGAAGGCAAACCACAAGAGAACGAGTGAGAAATATATCATCAGACATTATGTGGGAACATCTTGCACCTAAGTCTTTGAGAAGAAGAAGCTTGAATGGTTTGGTCACCTCCGAGCATGTGTAAGAAAGTAAGTAAAAAACCCTTTTTTCTGCTATTAAAAACTATTCCCAATGAGCGCTAGGGGTGCAGTGACCGGGGGGAAAGGGAAGGGAGTGGGGCGGGGGGGGGGGGGTGCCCGTTCGGTGAGGGAATTCTTGTTGATGTTGTCATGCCCTACTGCTCCATGTTGTACATCTATATTCACCAATGTGGACAGATATACATTGTCATGTGCATTACCGTATAGTATTAATGTTTGCGATTTACTGTTTTCATAGTCTAAGAACCACATCATCATCCGGTTGAGCCGTTCCAACGTCACATTGGACTTATAGTCTGTTCCTCCATTCTTTTCTATTTTGTACAATCCTTTCCAAAATCATAGATGGACATCCAGCCTAAAAATGTTGACCTCTGAACGATGTTTGTCTTGTTTTTTTTTTTTGGTTGTATTTTTTTTTAAATGGCATCATTTACTTCTTCTTCTTTACTCTACTCCTAGAATGCCTCTTGATTTCAGGGGAAGAAGAAATCTCAAGAGCGGGCCCTTTTGTTCGCATCGTAAAGAGTACATTTCGGTGTCTCTAACATTTCTGCGGTCTTTGTCCTGGGTGGTCGACCTCTGGATCTGTTAACGCTGTATCTGTATAACACTGCTCTCTGTGGTGCCCTGTCTGCTGCCAATCTTGTTACATGGCCAAACCATTTGATTTGTTGTCTACCTATACAGTTCAGTATTGGTTCTGTGCCGATTCTCCTCCTGATATCATCGTTCCTAAGTCGATCAGTCCTCGTTACTTTTAACATATAACGAAAACATTTACTCGTTTACTAAATCTGTTTATTTCCTGTTCCAGTGCCTTTTTAGCGATTCTCTGTTCGCTTGCCCTCAGAGTATACCCAACATGTCATAGTCTCTTAGATAGCAGCTGATATCAAGGGTTCTGCAGAGATTTCCTTATCGCCTTTGCCATTCTTGAAATCCTCCCATTTGATCAGTTTCCTGAGCATTTGTTTGAACGATCTGTCATGATTTAAAAAAAATGGTAATAGTTTCATTGGTCTCCCTACGGACCGCCCATATACACATTAGCTCACTTCCGATTGGTTCACTTTCAGCTTAGCTCACTTCTGAGTGGTCGATTTTGAGCCATGTGTACTTGGCACAAGGTGACGGGGGTGTCCCTCACCCCGCCCATTGCCGTTTATATCGCGTCTTCTGTATTTCAGCATTCCAGCGCCTTTAAAACAACAAAAACATAGACAGACTTAATCAAACGCAAAACACTTTAGAGAGTGATTAAATTTATGTCACAGACATTCTTTTTCTTGGTATAAAAAAATAAATCCAAGACATCCCAGAAAGCCAACAACAGAGCGGCACACATCCAGAAAGCCAACAACAGAGCGGCACACCCACAACGTCCAGCAGGTTGGACCTGTCCAAGAATGTTATCAATGGAACGTGACCTACTTTCTGTGGAGAGACTAACGTTTGTTTGACCGAAATAATTAAATAAGTAAAGTTTTAAAAAAAAGCTTTCTATTGTTCATCAGTTTGTGGCTCACCCACACTGCCAACAACTGTTGACCTCAATCTGGTACGAGGGACTTCCGGGCTGGAGAAAACGAAACGGGATCATGAAGTTCTTAACCTGTATGGGTTTGATCTCAATCCTTCCGTTCATGTCTGTGTATTACCTGATCTTCCCTCGCTCCAAGATTGGACAGCTTCTGCGATCACCATTTATGAAGTTTCTTTATCACAGGTCAGTATTTATTTTATTCTATGTTTTTATTACTTTTTATGGATCGTTAGTATTATTTTTTTTTCATGCTATTGCTATAAATTATCACTATTATTTTTTATTTTATTTTCGCTCTTTAATTTTTTTTTTTATTAATTCCACATTTTCTGGCCCTCAAGAAAGTAGCCAGAGAGTTTGAGAAATGGCATCCTGGTCATAAACTTGATGAAAGGGAAAATCCCAAACTGCATCTCCAAGTGGGATGGAAAACCCCAAGGTGTGACAACGCAGATAATGGGGACCGAGTATCCACCGGAATAAGTAGATTACTCAGCAGCTGGGCAGAGAAGGGCGCCCACTTGTCGTGACCTTGAAAAACATCGTGACAACTGGAAAGATAAATGGAAAGACGTGTAGAGACAGACCAAGAGAGATGATGTTGGATGGGCTGAAACGATGGCATGGAGGGATATCATCAAGAGAGCTGTTTCAGGCAACCAGGGATCATGATAAGTAGAGACGCACGAGCGCTTACGCCAATCAGCAAGGAACATGATGATAATGATGATGACGATGATTCCACATCACCTTTGATCTCTTCCTATTTTTTATAAAGCGGCTCTATGGTAAAGTCGATGCGAACGCTTCGTAATGCCATGGTGCCGGGTTCGATATCAGCTGCGGGCCATGCGCCTTGCCTTGGTTTCGACAGTGGTATCAGGAGGTCTGACCGTCCAAAAGCAATGGCAAACTACTGGACGTAAAGTTGCATAGAGAAACCACTCAACAGCTAGGCCCTGCTGGGGTTGGTTCTGCAACGTCCTGTAAAGGATACGCAACTAACCTAATATTTTATATTTATTCACCTGACCCCCTGGTGGGTACTAGTAGTCGGAGTACTTTGCCCTTTGTTACTGTTGTGTAGTGCTTGTCGAGGAAGGCCCTGGCCGAAACGTCGATTTCTTTGTTGTGTAAACGTCGTTTTTTGTGTGACCCTTTTCCACGCCTTTAGGCGTATAGGGCATTTGGGCTAGACCTATATTTTTATAGAGCAATCTGCACAAGATGGGTCACGTGGTCAGCATCACGCCGGCCACCTTTACTTTCCCGGGACTGTATCCGGTACCCGCTCGGGGGTCGACCTGGGAGCTAAGGTCATTTTAAACGTCGTTTCCCTCCCTCCATTTCGTTAAGCTTTTTAATCACAGTTTATTTGAATAATTTCTTCTTCAGTATGTATGCATGTTTGTCACGCTGTGTATATACTTCGAACACAAAGTTTAAACAGTTTTAAAGTCGAAGGGATCGACCTCAACGCATCGGATTTTGTACCCCATGATCCGGCCTCCCTCCACAGTGACTAGCTTTTTGTTTGTTGGATTACAGAAAGTATACTTCCTAGGGAAGGAATAAGCTTTAATACATGATGACCACCGAGAAGACTGATGGAAAGTGAGCAGAGGTAGGCTTGGTCTCGAAAATAGGGGCAGGTCAAGAACATTGATCTGATCCGAGATATTAGTGATCGTGTAGAATCATGACGGTCTACGCTTATCTTCATGGCACATGATGCTGAAAACTATATTTCTTGGTTAGATGCGATGCGTTTTTTTTTTTTAAAATTCAAAACGGTAGAGCAAAACAGTGTGAGAGAGGAGGGGTGGGGGGAGGGGGGATATAGGGCCTATATTTGAAAAGAGGCTGTCGATAGAGCAAAATAGTGTGCGGGATCTAGGATATATATTTAAAAAGGGCAGTCGCTAAAGCAAAACAGTGTAAGGGAGGGGGGGGGGCGCTTTGTTGAAAAGGGGGCTGTCGTTAGAGCAAAACAGCGTAGGGGACTTAGAGCCTATATTGAAAAAGAGGCTGTCGTTAGAGGAAAACAGTGTGGGGGACCTAGAGCCTATATTGAAAAAAGGGCTATTGTTAGAGCAAAACGATGTTGGGAACCTAGGGCCTATGGTGGAAAAAGGGGCTGTCGTTAGTGCGAAACAGCGTGGGGGACCTAGGGCCTATGTTGAAAAAGGGGTTGTCTTTAGAGCAAAACAGTGTGGGGGACCTAGGGCCTATGTTGAAAAAGGGGCTGTCGTTAGAGCAAAACAGTGTGGGGAACCTAGGGCCTATGTTGAAAAAGGGGCTGTCGTTAGAGCAAAACAGTGTGGGGGACCTAGGGCCTATATTGAAAAAGGTACTGTCGTTAGAGTAAACAGTAATGGAGAACTAGGACCTATATCGGGTTTTCTGTAAGTCCCTACACATTCAAATACACCAGACACACCGCGTCATGAGATTTGTGGTCTAGTTAGCGCTTTACAAATAAATATTTAATCACGCTAGAGGGACTTATAGAGAGACCCTATAATATTGGCATTTTACTCCACAGTGCAAGTTTTGGGGTGTTTCTCTTTCTTCTTGTGTGTGCCTCCACGGACGTCATCAGCAGTGAACCGAAACGGGAGAGGTTCAGAGGCCCGGAGCCATCCGAGCTGGAGTGGATGATCGTACTCTGGGTCACAGGTTCATGGTCATACATATGTTGAACTCTTCTAGAACTTTCTTGTTCTTCTTGCAGTCCGTGCCGTGTGGCGTTGATAGTCATATTCTATCCTCATCCATGCCCTGCTCTCTAGCGTAGTTGGTTAAATCTGACTTCACGGTGACCGGGTGACGAACTCCTTGTGGTCCGTGTTCACTTCCGGGGGTAGGCAGAAAAGCTACATTTCCCCTCAGATTTACGGTACCTATCATGAAATCAAGTCTAAATTGTTGTGATATCCATAGTACCGAGCCAAAGTGTTTAAAACTCATGGTTTCTGGATTTTAAAAAAAAAATACAACCATCTTTCGGGTGTAATGTCAAGGCTTTTTATATCACTGTGAGCTATAAACCTATAAAGCTTTATCTGTTCATTCTCAACGGGGTTTCCTTTAATATCCAGGATAACATTAAAAAGTCAAGTAATGGAACATTTTTCACGCCTTCAGGCGTGATGGGCATATAAGGGTAGATCGTTTTTTTTAAAGACCAATCGGCACACGGTGGGTGATATCGTCAGTTTCTCGCTGGCCATCTTTACTCCCCCGGACTTATACCTGTTACCCACTCAAGGCTGGGTCGAGACAGGATAACAACTTGTATACAGAGCATGCTCACGGCAGTTTATAAGTAAATTGGGAGTTTCTCTGACCTTCCACGGTCATCGATAGAGCTGACTATATACAAGCGCTAGCAGCTATTCTATCAGCTTATTCTTTACCGGGTACACCTGAAGTTTCTTAGGGAGGAGAGAGAAGAGGTGGATACACATGCCCCTGATCTCTTGCACTGCACAAATGAAGTAAAAGTAAATCACTCTTTTCCATACAGATTCAGGCGTATTGGGCACATTGGGCTAGACCTATATTGTATAGACCAGTCGGCACTAGTTGAGTGATGTGATTTACTTTCTATGTTTTTCATCTGGTATCCACTTAAGTTTGGGTCGATCTGGGAGCCAGTGTCATTTTTGAAAGGGAGGTGGGGGGAGGTTCGGATCCGTTAAGATTTCAACCCACGACTTTTCGGATCATCTTAAGAACGTCTAGCCCCTAACGACAACAACTCCCTGCACAACTGGAGTGCTCTTATTAAAGAGCTTGGAAGGGAACGTCAATTCTATAAACGTTTGCAAGGCTTCTAGAAAGGAAACAGGTTTCTAGGTTATTAACGAAGAGGTGCACATTTTGCAAAGTGGCATACATAATGATGATAACTCATAGCTCTTCTCTCCATTATGCTTGACAGGATTTGTTTGGGCTGAGTGCAAGCAGCTGTGGGAGGAAGGAGTTAAGGCCTACATCAGACAGTGGTGGAACTGGCTGGATTTCCTCATGCTCTCACTGTATCTGGCCACTTTTGCTCTACGTATGGTTGCCTACTTTCAGGTAAGGCAACGTACACGAGTGGACTTACAGATCTTTATTTATTTGTGCGTCCCGGTGGTTTCCAGTGCAAAGATATTCTAGTGATATTATTCTCAGGCTTTCTCAACGTGTGTCCAGACATGTATTTGTAAATAAAACGAATTACATGTTTCAGAAAATAGAAACTGATGTCCTGAGCGAAGGGATTTGCATCGCTCGATAAGACGCAAATCAGAAGCGTAGCATGTATACTTTCGGGTGATTAGAAAGTATTTTCATCACAGCACTCCTGACAGATCCATAGGTGCTCCGATCTCCTCCTCAAAAGCTCCACAAGTGTAAAACGACTGATGACGCCTGTTCTGTGTTGGTTAATGAAACGTCTTGTCCCCTTATTGAAATGTTCATTTCTTGCAGCTCCAGGCTGCACACGCATGTCCATCGGCTTTCAGGTGTGCGTGGTAATGAACAGGCTGATAGTTGCTGCAGATCCTCTGGAGAGGAGCTACTTTGTGATACAGCGGATGTGGTGAAGGCTGTAGGGGATTAAGTCGTGCAATAGAAGAGAGTATTCATATCAGGAGAGAGATGGTGATGAGCACAGGGTCAAGATGATTTTCAAAGCTCGTTGGAAACGACAGGCGGACTTTTACTTTAATCAGGTAGCGGTAGTATGAGAATTCTTCGTTGGCTGCCGAGCCAAAGCATGCAGCAACTATATGCAAGTTTGGAGCCCCGTGCTGCCAAGTATTGATTCAGTCATTTAGGACCGGTGAAAACAGATATTTACTTCAGTCGTTACAGCAAAGCGGTTGGTTGAATCGTCCATATTTTTCTGATTGATGTTTGAATTATATCCTTTGCCTTCCTCGCCTTTGAATGGCTAGTTTTCATTTCCTGTGTTCACACGTGCCTCACGGCGTCAGTTGGTTAGACAGACATGTGGATTTCCTGGACAGACCCCAGTTAAGTGATTCTTGGGTATCCTTGTCTGTAAATGAAACGTTGTCTATTCGTATCATGTGCTAATAGAAGCTTTCTAGCCAGAACTGTTACTTGTCATTTATGATTGTGCTAATGTCAAGATGACTAGTTCTATTTTTTTCTGTTGGTTTGATAACTTTCCTCCATCACTCATTTCTCATATCTGCTACAGATTGAGTCAGGCAGATACGGTGATCGAGAAATGTTACGCAAAGACTGGCCTCAGAATGATCCTACCTTGATTTCCGAGGGACTGTTTGCAGTGGCCAACGTGTTCAGTTTCGCTAGAATCATTTATCTGTTCCAGGTTCGTTAATACTGGTTTTAATCACTTTCATTACAGTTGCTCAGAATCATTATTTAATCGTTTCCATTAGAATTATACGAATCATGAATTATTTAATCGCTTTGATTATATTTACTGATAATTAATATTATTTTATCGTTTTTTTTTTTAAATTAAATTTACTGATAATCATAATATTATTTCATCGTTTTTATTTCACTTACTAAGAATCCTTAATTATTTATGTGTTTTCACTACATTTACGTAGAATCACTGTCAGGGAAGCTAAAGCTGCTGAACTGAATTCCATCCAGGATGTTGATAAAATTGCACAGGATGGAAACAAATGAAGGAGCAGACTGCGTGTCCCATATTACGTATAATGTCACAAGAAGAGGAGGAGATCATTGAATATTACATGGTTATCATAAGTTAAGAAAAGTAAAGATCCCTTTCCACGCCTTTAGGCCAATCGGGCATATGGGAAGAGCGCCCATATTTTTACAGACCATCAGCTTGCATTACGCCGGCTGTCTTCACTTTCCCAGGAAAGCCCATCCTGGTACCTATTTTAGACCAGGGTCGACCTGCGACGCCCCATACCATGATAAAGATCCACGCAGCCAGCAGTGGGTTTCGATCGCGGTACGCTAGATTACGAGTCGGACTCGCACCGACTTAGCCACGGACGCCGCATGGTTATCATAGTATAACAAATAAGGAAGAGTTTGAAGGCAACTGAGATGTGGTTCTTGAGAAGTATGTTGCGGATACCTTAGACTGGCAGAATAACTAACAATGACTGCCTGGAAATGGTTATTAAAGGAGTAGAATATTATAAACAACAATGAGAAGGAGACAAACAAAGTACTTTGGTCATGTATTGAGAAAAGCAGCACTGGAAATATCGTGACGACTGAAAAGATCACTGGTAGAAGAGGCAGAGGCAGACCAAGAGAAATGATGGCGGATGGCTTAAGACAGTGTCATGGAGGAATATCATCAGTGGAATTGATTCACAACACGAAAAACAGAGATCTGTTGAGATGCATGAACGCCCATCGCCAGCTGGCAAGGCACTGGATGATGAACCAAAGTTTATCCTTGTGCATTACTAGCAATAACTGAGAATTATATGATAATAACATAAGCATTGATAATAATCACCGAATATTAGTCAAAACCACAAAGTATTGCTAAGAATTACCTAATATTAATGAAAACCACCAAGTATTGCTAAGAATCAATGAAAACGACCAAATGTTGTTAAGAATCACCGAATATTATTTTTAAAAAAAACAAGTATTGTAATGAATCACCGAATAATAATGAAAACCACCAAGTATTGCTAAGAATCATCAAATATTTATGAAAACCACCAAGTATTGCTAAAAATCATCGAATAGTAATGAAAAGCACCAAGTATTGCTAAGAATTACCTAATATTAATAAAAACCACCAAGTATTGCTAAGAATCAATGAAAACCACCAAGTATTGCTAAGAATCACCGAATATTAATGAAAACCACCAAGCATTGATAAGAATTACCTAATATTAATAAAAACCACCAAGTATTGCTATGAATCACCAAATATTAATGAAAACCACCAAGTATTGCTAAGAATAATCGAATATTAATGAAAACCACCAAGCATTGATAAGAATTACCTAATATTAATAAAAACCACCAAGTATTGCTATGAATCACCAAATAATAATGAAAAGCACCAAGTATTGCTAAGAATACTCGAATAATAATGAAAACCACCAAGTAGTGCTTAAAATCACCGAATGGTAATGAAAACCACCAAGTATTGCTAAGAATTACCTAATATTAATAAAAACCACTAAGTATTGCTAAGAATCAATGCAAACCACCAAGTATTGCTAAGAATCACCGAATACTAATGAAAACCACCAAGTATTGCCAAGAATCATTGAATCTTAATGAAAACCACCAAGTATTGCTATGAATCACCGAATAATAATGAAAACCACCAAGTATTGCTAAGAATCACTTAATAATAATGAAAACCACCAAGTATTGCTAAGAATTACCTAATATTAATAAAAACCACCAAGTATTGCTAAAATTCACAGAATATTAACGAAAACCACAAAGTATTGCTAAGAATTACCTAATATAAAAAAAACCTACCAAGTATTGCTAAGAATCAATAAAAACCACCAAGTATTGCTAAAGAATCACCGATTATTAATAAAAACCACCAAGTATTGCTATGAATCACAGAATAGTAATGAAAACCACCAAGTATTGCCAAGAATCATCGAATATTAATGAAAACCACCAAGCATTGCTAAGAATTACCGAATAATAATAAAAACCACCAAGTATTGCTAAGAATCACCGAATATTGATGAAAACCCCCAAGTATTGCTAACAATTACCTTATATTGATCCAAGAATCATCGAATATTAATGAAAACCACCAAGCATTGCTAAGAATCACCGAATAATAATAAAAACAAAAAAGTATTGCTACGAATTATCTAATAATAATAAAAACCACCAAGTATTGCTAAGAATCAATGCAAACCACCAAGTATTTCTAAGAATCACCGAATATTAATTAAAACCACCAAATATTGCCAAGAATCATCGAATATTAATGAAAACCACCAAGTATTGCTAAAAATCACCGAATAATAATGAAAACCACCAAGTATTGCTAAGAATCACCGAATATTAATGAAAACCACCAAGTATTGCTAAAAATCACTGCGGTTTACATGGAAACAACTGATGCTTAAATAAGAATCACAATAAATTACTTAAAATTACTGAGAATCAACGAGCAATACCCTGAATTGATTGATTACAGAGAATCACTAAGTATTTTCAAGAATTACTGAGCCTTACATGAGCCTTACATGAGAACCACTGCGTATTATTTTAGTACCTAATGCAACAATTAATACGACGTGTGTGTGTGTGTGTGTGTGTTTGTGTGTGTGTGTGCGCACGCACGCGTGCGTGCTTGTATGTGCACGTGCGTGCAGACAGTTCATAAGTTTCTCCCCTTTTCTCTGTTCCAGGCCAACCAGCACTTAGGACCCCTACAGATCTCTCTCGGATGCATGCTCATCGACATCGCCAAATTTCTGTTCATCTTCTTCCTCGTGGTCTCCTCGTTCGCCTGTGGCCTCAACCAACTCTACTGGTACTACAGTGATACAGACCCTGACGATGAGGACCTGTTCTTTACGTAAGTGACGTGCATCCTGATCAGTGTGACCATCTAGAGCACCGGTTCTCAAACTGGGTGCTGTGGTACCCAGGGGTTTTGGGAGTGTATGCCAGGGGTACCGCGACAGAAATCACGAATTTTTCCAAATCTGCTAGAGATCAGCGAAGACAGCAGTTTAAAACAAAAATACCATAAAGAAAGCCAAGAAGAGTTCTGCATGCAGTTCTATACAGAAAACAAAGCTATTGGCAAGGCTTCAGTCTATTCTGAACATACGCTTACATTAAAAAACAGATACAGAAGCAACCTTCAAGTGATTTGAGGGTATAATTAACTAAACTTGCCACAAACATAAAGGGAAATAATGAAAAATTCACTTAATCGGTTTCATTCATCGCATTAAAGACAACTGAACATTACATTTGACCTCCCCCTCCCCCCACCCCCCCCCCCTAAGTATTCCAGCCGCTTAAGGGCAAATGTGTGCGAAATATTTTTTTTTTTGCCCAGCAAGGGTACCGAGGTGACAAAAGTTTGAGAAACGCTGATCTAAAGCAGTGGTTTTCATTTTGGAGGGCGCCCCCCCCTCCCCCATCCCTTTCGGGGCGGGACTCAAGTAAGTTTAAAAGAAAAGTCAAACAATTTTGAAACTGAGTTCACTTGTACTTATAATATTATTTTATACTAATATTGTTTTCCCAGTTTAATTAACAATTAAAATTTAAGTCACAAAAATAAAATAGCCCTGCTTGCTTGATGTGGAGAGTGACCTACATTGTGCTTTGTCCAACATCAAACCAAAAATGGAAGATAGTAGCAAAACAAAACGGTGTCAACCATCAAATTGATATTTGGACACTAAATTACTAGTTGTTGATTGTTTCTTTTACGATATTTGACACTTTGATGTATGCGGATGTTTTTCTTCAATGTCACACATCTCTTCTCCAGCTACGTGACACTGTTCTCATGGCTTCTTGTTCATTCCGCAGGCTGTTCTCCAGCTACGTGACACTATTCTCATGGCTTCTTGTTCATTCCCGCAGGCTGTTCTCCAGCTACGTGACACTGTTCTCATGGCTTCTTGTTCACCCACACAGCTGTTCTCCAGCTACGTGACACTGTTCTGGTCAATGTTCAGCCTGACGGCCCCCAGCAAGCTGGAGGTAAAGAGCACCCAGAGCTTCACCAAGACAGTGGGAGAGCTTCTCTTCATGGTCTACCACGGCATGGCCATCATCGTCCTTCTCAACATGCTCATCGCCATGATGTCCAGCTCCTTCCAGGACATTGAGGTAGCAGACGAGCTTGCGTCTTCCTCTGAAATATATTACTTCTTCTTCTTCTTCGCGTTCACCAGCTGTACACTCTGGCGGAAAGTTCTGGTTGCTCGTCCACTACTGAACTGCAGTCCTGCTCCAGAACCTGAGTGTTGCGTGTGCATCAGCTTTACAGATCTCATTTTCTTGAATACAGACTGTTGGTACCTTGCCTCTCCAGCAGATGCACTCCGACTTCAGAGGAAGCTAGCCAATTAGTCGACTCTTACGACATGCTTTTGGGGAGGCAGTGGGTCTATTCTTGTTTTCCCCACAATGGGGCCCCGGAACCCACACGGGGGAGATATATTACTATCTGTCTGCCTGTTTATGTGTCTGTTTGTGTCTTTCTTTCTGTCTGTATATCTACCTGTCTGTCGTTCGGTATGTCTGTGTGTCTGCATGTCTGTCTGTCTTTGAATCTTTGTTTGTTTCTTTCTGCCTATCTTGCTTTTGTTATTTCTCTTCCATTTATCGTTCTTTCTCCGCCCCCCCCCCCCGCTCCTTTTTGTATTTCTTTTATTTTCTTGCCAGTCTGATTTCTCCCTAATTTTCGTCCCTAATATTATTTTGCCCATTTGTTTCTTTCCATCTTTCTTTTCTGTCAGTCTTTTTCTCAATTTTCTTCACATTCTTTTGTATAAACGTTTTACAATACTTCTAATACTTCTAGTAGAGTTTGCAAATGTATACATCAAATATTTGAATTCTGTGAACCTATTTGGGAATTGTATACTTTTTATGAACAAATACAACACGCAACCATTTTATTCTTATGAACGAATTCTATATGTAAGCTCATACTTCATGTGAACCAATCCTACAGGTGAACCATCACGGTATGTAAGAACTGTAATTCATGTGAACCAATCCTACATGTGAACCCTAATCAACTTGTGAACCCTCAGTCTCTTGTGAAACTTGTATTTCTTCTTCTTTGTTCACCGGCTGTGAGCTGCGATGCAAAACCCTGGTTGTTCGTCCATTTGGACTTTCGCCTAGTGCCAGGCTTTGATTTTTGCTTTGAAGTCCATTTTACTGGCTAATTTACGTGCAGGTCGTTGATCCTTGCCGTTCCGGCAGATGTTCTCCGACTTCAAACGAAGCTCTCAGTTCGTCGTTAGTTCACTCCTACGACATGCTTGTAGGGGAGGCAGTGGGTATATTCTTATCCCCCTCCCCCCCCCCCCCACAATGGGGCCCCAGAACCCACACGGGGATGAACACTACACAATATGTGAACCCTATTTAACTTGTGTGCTTTAAACTACGTGTGAACCCTACATTACGCGTGAACCCTACACAAGAAGTGAACCCTGAACCATTTGTGAACTATAAACACTAGTTAAAGCAAGCGAAGGATTTTATATATATGTAAAGCTTTTTTTTTTTTTTTTTTAGAAAATGGAAGAATTAATAAAAAATCCAGCAAAAATGCAATAAAGCCAATCAAGTTTTAGCCAAATCGCACCAATTTTGAAATGCAAGTATGTGAATATGAGCACTAAATGAACATTGTTCAACACAATATTCTTACCAACGCTATGCTATTAGTGTCAAACATGGACACCGTCTTCAGAAGACAGAAGGAAAATAGTCACGACAGAAGTGAAATGTCTACGTACTATGTTAGGTGTAAAGAGAAAAGATCCAATCAGGAACAATGATATCAGGAGGAGAATCAGCACAGAACCAATACTGAACTTTATAGGTAGACAACAAATCAAATGGTTTGGCCATGTAACAAGATTGGCATGAGACAGGGCACCACAGAGAGCAACTGCATATACAACGGTAACGTACCTAGAGATCGACCACGCAGAAAATTGCCCGCAGAAATATCAGACACTAAAAAGTACTATATTTGAAGCTAACAGAAGAGTCTGAGTAGTAAACATATTTCTGAGATGACAACGCAGAGTTGAAGCCAGGTGTTGATCAGTTCTAGCACTGGCCATTTTGCATCCCCACAACATGTAATTTGCCAAACATGCATATTATTTAAAACCATTACACGCAAACTCACCACCCGTTAGAGGAGATGCCTGAAAAAGCCGCCAGTCTTTCAGAGAACGAGTGAATAATAATACTACAAAGCAGATCGGGGGATCAACACCCTGTACTAGGTTCATACAGAATGCCGCAAGGCATTCCAGGAGTAGAGAGAAGAAGAAACAGAAGAAACACATTGTGAACTTTACATTTCTATTGACAAAGTACCACCTGCGTGTTAACCATGTGATACTTATCAACAATGCACAACTTGCTGCATTAAATATAAACACGTGTGTATTCATTTGTTGTTAGAACCACGCCGACATGGAGTGGAAATTCGCCCGCTCCAAGCTCTGGATGGGTTACTTTGATGAAGGCTCCACCTTACCGCCCCCCTTCAACCTCATCATCAGCCCCAAGTCCGTCTACTACCTGGTCATGTGGGTCAAGCATTTGGCTGACCAATGCATCTGCCACCAGCGATCTAGACGCCATCGACGCCGGAAGTCTTCAGAGGGCACAATACGGGTATCTGCTTGTAATCTTATGTTGTCTTTTTTTTTCTGTGTCGCTCTTAAAAATAGCGTTGGCATGTTGTGTGTTGTGGTTTACTGCTAGGCTGCGAAATCTGCGCCTTTCGGCCAATCAGTGCGATTGTAGTCAACCCTGATGCTTATTGGAAAGGGAGAGGGGGGAGGGGGGGGGGACGGGGCGACAAGACGGGTAAGTCTAGATGTTCGGCTTCAGATGCCAATGTTGAAACCAACACAAGGCGGTCTGCTGCCCCGTCTTCTGCGTTCGCAACGCCCAAGCCACAAACGGCGAGAGTTGTCTAAACATTTCTCTTCTTTCTTTGCCTTTATTTATTGAACCCCTGCTGCTGAAGATGAGAACTGAGCACTTATGGGAGTGTCCCGAGTGCTGTGATGACGTTTCTTCATAGAAATGTTTAAACAACTGTCGCCGTTTGTGTTCAACATATTGAACTTTATCTAATGTTGATCAGTTTCCTCATACATTTTTTTTATGCACATAGACATGCTTAGCCAGGCCTAACACCACAGCCACGTAGTCCGGCTAGTGCTTGTCATATACATGGCTGTCTAGACTTTGATTGGCTAGTGTGGTGTTTAGTGTTTGGCTGGCGTGGTGTTTGATTTAGCTTGTTTGAGTGGCGCTAAACAGTAAAATAGTCAAACTGTTTACCTCACGATCTAAAGGTCGTGGTTCGTTTCATACGTGCGTTTTTCAGTTTACAAGTGTACATTTTACGGAGACCCGAGGTGATCATTGCCGTAGCTACAGTGCTCGTGCTTTGTTCGATGCTGTGATGTTGCTTGCGGTTCTGTGGCTTTTCATGTGTCATCGGTAGAAAATAAATGATAAATGCATGCTTCTTCTTGCATGGTTTCGTTACGTCTTTAAGTGTGTTTCTTTAAATGATTATGTCAAGATTTCAGCCTAATATTTAAAGAATCCACACACATACACACAAACACAAATGCACACTCTCTCTCACACACATGCACGCACACACACACTCACACACATGCACGCACATGAGATGGTTGCGTATCTTTACCGGACGTTTCAGTACCAACAGGAGCATTTTTTCTCTTCTTTCATGGCCTAGGAAATATGTGGAGGTTAGAAGAAATTAAAACTAATACTAACTTTAAAATTGTTGGTTCTAATGTGCGTCAGTGCTATTGTTTGGAGCGGAAACGCGGAGAAAACTTAGACAATTACCAATAAACTACAAACATTCATTAAATAGTATATGCGCAGAAAATACGAAGTTAAAAAGTATGATGGAATCACTAATGTAGAGCTTTGGGAAAGAACTTGACGGGTTCCCGTGGATCGTGGGGTGACGAAAAGACGCTGGCATTGGATGGGACACACATTGATAAAACCTGGGAACTGTATAGCTAGAATATCTTTGCACTAGAGCCCTTACGGGCATAAAGGTCCTTTTACTATTTCTTAATAGCTTTTGTAAGAGTTTTAAGTACCTGTTCACGATACCAACAAAGTGGGATTCGATAGGGAGATAAAAGCCAGAGTTAAAGTTGGTTGAAACAACCCCAGCATTTTTAGCTGTTGTGGTAGTTCTGGGCAAATTTTTCGTTCAGTAGTTTGTCATTGCTCTCTAAACGGTCAGCTCTCGGTACCACTGTCAAAACTAACGCAAGAAAAAACCGTCCTTAGCTGCGATCGAACCCGGCACCCTGGCATTACGAAGCTCATTCGCATCACCTTAGCCACGGAAGCCGATAGAAGCCAGAGTACAGAATGCAAATGCTGTCACCGAGCAGTTAGCCCAGCTGTTTTAGACACCCAAATGTTTCCCTTTCAGCAAGAAAGAAAGTGATTAGCAGCATCTGCATCCCTACTTGATGCCATCAGTGACAAACATGGACAGTGAATAGAGCATTAGAACAGAAAATAACTACATGTGATATGCGCTGTCTTCGCTCCGCAAGGTCACTAACAACACAAAAGGGACAGGGTTACAAATAACAGCATTAGAGATACAGTTGGAATTAGATCGTATCTGATTTAAAGCGAAAAAGAACTCTTTTCTCTTCTTCTTTACGTTTGGTTTCGTATGCTAGGTCAGACCATCAGGTGGATTGCCTCTATAAACTTGCATATCAGTAGCAGGTCCTTCGTGGTTTCCCAAAGCTTGCTCTGCACACTTTTGCTCTTTTTGAAGTTGTCTGTTGAGTGGGCAGATCTACAGGATGTGCTCAGGTGTTTGTGGTCCTGTTTGACAGGCAAACTGTGGGGACTGTACAATCTTTATTTTATGCATGTGGTAGTTGAGCCTGCAGTGTCCTGAACAAAGAATGAAATAGTTCGACAATATAGTGAGAACGCAGACAGACCAAGCTGCATATGCTAATTTTAACAGCAGAACATCTGGAAGGAAGGAGACCAAAAGGGGAGACCAAAAAAGAGATGGATAAATGGTGCAGCTGAAACCTACAAAAAGGTGAAGAAATCCATCATCCCAATCCACCAGAGAAGCACAAGACAAATACAGAAAACCAGAAACAACCCATGAGACGACAAAACCACGACACTGGGATATCAGTGAAACGACTAAACCACGACACTGGGCTACAGTTAGACGACAAAACCACGACACTGGGCTACAACCTGATATCAATGAGACGACAAAACCACGACACTGGGCTACAACCTGATATCAATGAGACGACAAAACCACACTGGGCTACACTGAGCTACACAAAACCTGGTATCAGTGAGACGACAAAACCACGACACTGGGCTACAACCTGGTATCAGTGAAACGACAAAACCACGACACTGGGCTACAACCTGGTATCAGTGAAACGACAAAACCACGACACTGGGCTACAACCTTGTATCGGTGAGACGACAAAACCACGACACTGGGCTACAACCTCGTATCAGTGAGATGACAAAACCACCACACTGGACTACAATCTTGTATCATTGAGACGACAAAACCACCACACTGGGCTACAACCTGATATAAGTGAGACGACAAAACCACGACACTAGGCTACAACCCGGTATCATTGAGACGACAAAACCACCACACTGGGCTACAACCTGATATCAGTGAGACGAAAAAAACCACCACACTGGGCTACAACCTGGTATCATTGAAACGACAAAACCACGACACTGGGCTACAACCTGGTATCATTGAAACGACAAAACCACGACACTGGGCTACAACCTGGTATCATTGAAACGACAAAACCACGACACTGGGCTACAACCTGGTCTCAGTGAGACGACAAAACCACGACACTGGGCTACAACCTGGTATCAGTGAGACGACAAAACCACGACACTGAGCTATAACCTGGTATCAGTGAGACGACAAAACCACGACACTGGGCTACAACCTGATATCAGTGAGACGACAAAACCACCACACTGGGTTACAACCTGATATAAGTGAGACGACAAAACCACCACACTAGGCTACAACCTTGTGTAATTGAGACGACAAAACCACTATACTGGGCTACAAAATGATATCAGTGAGACGACAAAACTACGACACTGGACTACAACCTGGTATCAGTGAGACAGTAAAAGAATAGGAACAATTTATCTGCAGTTGATTTGGCTGACAGCTTTACAATGTCTTTAACAGCAGCATGAGGGTCGTAGCTCTTGAAAGCAATGGCAAACGAATTAAAGGAAAAAATTCTCTAACAAAACGAGACAACATTCTGGAGTCGGTGTGTAACATTCTAAAACGAATTTGCAACTTGTTCTTTATGTGTGCAATTTTTCTCTTATCCACATCCAGTCAAGGCAAGTAGTCCGGCCCGCAGAATGTAACATTTTTCAGGTAAGTGGATTCTGGTGTAACAACACAGGAATATGTACGATTTATTTTTTCCATATTGTGTGTGTCCTCCGTTTCTGTTTTATTGTTTCCCTTTTGTCGGTGAGTTTCCCGTGCAGACCCTTAAAAACAAATATTCCAATGAGGTCTTGTTAAAAAAACTTCATTTTTTATGCGTGTATGTTTTACTAATATGACTCATTTGTGAGCAGACTGTTGGTTCCTCGCCTCTAAAGCACTTGCGCTCCGACTTCGGATAGGAAACATTAATACTTCACCACGAGACGGGATGCAATTTGTTATTTTAAAGCCCCAACCCCGCTGTATTTAGGGCCGCTAATATAACCTAACGGTTGAACAGCAATTCTAGGACTTTGCCCGGAAATTTGTCGCTCGCTGTGCCGTCCTGATGGAGTTAAACGTCACTCAAAAGAAACACTGCCCCCCCCCCCCCCCCCACCCCCCCTCTTCTTATTCCTCATCTTCTTCTGCATTCCAAGCTCTTGAGGTTCACTGCTGCAGATATCACCCACCTCCACTCATCTCTCTGGTTGGCCTTCTCTTTCCAGTTTGGGGACATCAAGTGTTTGCAGATCTCTCTGGACATTATCTCTCCATCATTTTCTTGCCCTCGTGATCTACGACCATTCATCTCCCTGGTGTATGTAGTTTTAACTTCTCTGTCATCTGACATTCTCTCAATATGCCCCGACCATTTCAATCTTTAAGCTCTCATGATGACAATGATCAGTAGTGAAATAAACAGATTATGAGTTTCGTTGTTTATTTTCACTCTCCATTACCGCTGTTTACATCTGTGATAGGTCCAAAGATTCGTCGTAATATTCTGTTTTCGAAAATCCGTAATAAGCCTTTATCTCTTTCAGTTGTGCTCCAAGTTTCAGAGCCATATAAAAACGACTGGTCTTATCAACATTTTATATATTTTGATCTTGGTGTTGCTAGAAAGAGACTTTGACTTTAGCAGATGTGGAAGGGCATAGTATAAATTTTTTTTTTCTGAATTGTATTTCTTCTTTCAGCATGTTGAACCAGTTGAAGTTTGCGCTCAAGTCCCTTAACGATCCAGTGCGTTATCCGTTAAAATCCATCCGAATCGAGGCTTCGATATCTGTTTCGTGAGGAGATAGTGTTTTACCTGCCCCCG